AGCCCCTACTAATCAACAAATAAATTCGTGCTTCGTCGGTTCAGGGGGCAGCTTCGTGCTTCATGAGTTGATGATTCATGAAGCAGGATGACTCGTCAAAATTGTGAGTTGTCCCCATCTCTAATGGAGAATATTTGGTTTACTCAGCAGTCAGTGCTGCACTGAATCTTTGAGCTGTGTAATTCTACATCAAATGCAACTTCTGATACTAATCAACAAATAAATTCGTGCTTCGTCGGTTCAGGGGGCAGCTTCGTGCTTCATGAGTTGATGATTCATGAAGCAGGATGACTCGTCAAAATTGTGAGTTGTCCCCATCTCTAATGGAGAATATTTGGTTTACTCAGCAGTCAGTGCTGCACTGAATCTTTGAGCTGTGTAATTCTACATCAAATGCAACTTCTGAATCTGGTATGAGGGCAGCCCTGTGCTAATTTTATATGATACAACTAGATGCCTGGAATCTCTTAGAAGGAAGGTACAGAAATTTCTGTGTCATTTTTAATGTAAAGATCACCCTTGAGACAAAAAAAGAAAAGAAAAGGAAGACAACAGTAATGCTCACATCTTAATCACTGCTATATCTAATTTAATGGGGCTTGTCATCTGTAACCAACAGTCTGCTCTACAGCCTGGTTAATGTGAAATGACTTTAATTTTGGATAATGTAGATTGCAATCCTTTAGCTCTTTTTTTAAGATAAAGAAAAATGCCATGCCTTGAATTTAAGTGTGCTGCTCCACTGACCTACCTGTATGACAAAGGAATCAAACAACTGCTTAACTAGCATATTTAGCTATATACTTCTTCACAGTGCCAGAGGTTATATCTCCTAGAATCTCCTAGCCAGCTGGGGAATTCTGGTAACTGTAGTCCAAGCTCTGCACAGTGCATATAGTTGAAATATGGAATTCTCTTTTGCAAGATGTAATGCTTCAAGGGTCAGGTCAGCAGCATTCCATTGTCTTAGACTGAAAGACCAAAACCTGAGAACAAGGTGAGCCTTTGTGATGTCACAGGGGAAGGGCAAGCAATGGGTGGGAAGGGAGCGAGTACAACACACATAGGAACATCTCCGTACAGGGGGATTGGTACCAGCTGGGAATGGGTGAAGAATGGTGCCCAGGTTTTAAAGGATCTTTACACACTAAAATCCAACTTGGAAGCCCAGAGATGCACACTAATTAATGAGACTTCAGCCACTGCCCCAGTAGCTGGTCATTCAGCTAGCTGGATCCCAAGCTGTCAACAGGGAGTCTAGTATGGATGGCCACTAATAATCTTTAATGATTTTCAAGAGGAATTAGGCAAATTCAAAGAAAAAACACCCACCAAACTACTAATTGCAACAGGTATATACAATGTCCTGTATTGGAGGAAAAAATAAAAACCAACAAGCCAATAACAACACAATTAGTACAGCAGAACAAAAACCTAATTTCCAGGAGCAGCCTTTCTCTCAGTCCCACCACCTTCACAGATGTATTTGGTGTGTACATGGAAGAGGGCCTTCTCTTTCACTGCTCCCGGACTCTGGAACTCCCTCCCACAAGATACTAGACTGGCTCCATCTTTACAGTCTTTCCACAAGCAGGCAAAGACCTTTCTCTTCAGGCAAGCTTTCCCTGAGTGACTGCCTGCCTGAGTGGGTTTTTTTTTTAATGGATTGTTGTACAGTACCTAACTACTTTGAATGTGTTTTACTGTTGCTCGTTTTTTTTCAATGTTGTATTCATTTCATCCTTTTTGTTTTGTATACTCACTGCTGTTAGCTTAAACACTGTCTTTTAATTGTAAGTTGTCCAGGGCCCTTTTTAAGGAGAAACGGGATATTAAAATATTTAAAATAAAGCAAATAAATAAAACATCTTTAGGCAGTGATGATATAGGAGGAGGGAGTCCTTCACCGAGCTGGATCCCAAGCTGTCAACAGGGAGTCATCCCAGTCAACATTTTGGCTGGTGTGTTTTTATGTAATTGCTCCATCTGCACCCTCTTCAGATTCTGCTCCAGATATAAAACATGGCAGTAGTCTAAATAGGACATGACTGCAGTGTGGTTCACCACTGCTAACTGAGCCCATTCTGCAGGTGTCACAACTGGCCTACTCATGAAACCTGAGAGAAAGCATTCCATGCCACTAAGCATATCTGTTCCACAATGAAGGACAATGTTGGATCAAAGAGTACAAAACTGTTGGATCAAGTTACAAGACTGGTCTTTCAGAAGAAAGAAAACCAAAACCTCAAGAGTCTTAAATCAATGCTCTGTTTGAGCAACTTGTCTGTTCTCTTTCTCAACTGTATCCATGGCTGGAACTACACCTTGCAGATAACCCTCAGCAAGCTTTTTACTGCAAGTTATCTTCACACTGAAGTGAGCACTCTCCTACAACATGCCTATTTTAATGCAGTGAAAACAGAGCCGTTGATTGCTCCCTGGAGCAAAAAAAATGTTAGCTGGTCAGTGCCGAAAGAGCTGGGAAGCCTGCCAGCACTGGCTGCTCAGCAACCTTGTTATTACCAGGGGATTAGCATTAGGAGCTCCATTTTTGCCACACATGGAGCAGGCTACCCTTCCGCCTACAAGGGGTTTCTTTGTTCAGTTGGTGGGTGGCCAGTGAGTGCATGTTGGCAGGAGCATTGGTGGTGGTGGTGTCTCCCTGTCTGGGATGCTGCTATGATTGTCACTTCCCTCCCCAGCCACTGCTGTCCCACCACCTGTCGGCCAAGCAAGCCCTTCAAAAGAGGAAGGTCTTCCTTGCCCGGATGAAGCCTTTGTTGTTGTTTAGTTGTTAAATCGTGTGCTTCCTTGCCCGGCTGAAGCCTTTGTTGTTGTTTAAATCATGTCTGACTCTTCGTGACCCCATGGACCAGAGTATGCCAGGCCCTCCTGTCTTCCACTGCCGCCTGGAGTTTGGTCAAATTCATGTTGGTCGCTTCGATGACACTGTCCAACCATCTCGTCCTCTGTCATCCCCTTCTCCTCTTGCCCTCACACTTTCCCAACATCAGAGTCTGAATCAGGGTTCCCAATATCAGGCTGAAGCCTTACTGTGCTTTAAAATGGCACTACTGAGCACTGTATTAAAGTGCAGTAAGGTGTATGTCATATGAAGCAATGAAGGACACTTTGCATTGGCATAGGTTTGGGGCAAACATGTAGTTCTGGCCCATGAAAGCTGACATGGAAATAAATGTGTTAAGTCTCAAAGATGGCATTAAACTGATTATTTTTGAAAAATAAATGATAACATGATAGTTGTTTTTAAAAAAGGAGTCCATTCAAATTGGGAACAGATAAGCAGGTGACCAAAAACCCATATAATAAAAATAATAAAACAAGATTCCCTGTTGTTTCTGATAGAAAGTAATGCCACTTCTCTGGAGAATTTTGCTGCAGTGCATGCCTGTATTTAAGAACACAGAAAGTCTTCTCAGTATAGATGCACCTTCTAGCCATGTGATAGCTTAACAAGAGGAACAAGTCTATAATGTCTACTTAAAAGTGAGGCCTTCTGATTTCAGTGGAATTTAGTCGCAAGTGAGACAGTGCATAGGATTAGACCCAAAGAAGTCTCAGACTAGATAAGATCCCAGCTATATTTTGACATTATAGGCCTTCCTAGATGCAGTGGCAGATGTAAAGAGATACACTTTTGATGTGACCCTTCTGATCTTCTGCATGTACTTATTCGAAAACCAGGAGTAAAATGTGTGGGACTGCAGCATTCATAATCCCCAGCAACTGGAAGTTAGGGGAAGCAGATCTATAATGCAAGACACTGACAATGCACATGTGACTGAAAATGTGTAGGTCTGTGCTGTGTGTGTGTGTGTGTGTGTGTGTGTGTGTTTTGTTTTGTTAAACAATTTTGTAGAGAATTTATCTGTACATACCTGTGATTAAGACTATATGATGGCAAGCATTCTACCTCCGAAGCTTTTAGGTTGCCTTGGAATCTTTTTTTTAACCTACATTTTTGGCTGATTTAACACTTTTTAAATATTTTCTGAAAGCACATCATTTAGCAATTTCAAAAGGTGAAAAATAGCACAGGGTAAAATGGACCCCACTGTATTGCCAACAGTGACATCAAGTGGACAAAACCAGTGTAACATGTACAGTACCAAGAATGGAAATTTCTCTTAATTGCTCAGATTTTAATATGTCAAAAATTTGCCTCACTTATGACAACAAAAATCAAAGAGACAGACAGATAGACAGACACAAGAAGCCGATTTTCTGCAGAGTGTTCCTGAAGACATAGACTATAATCCAGGAAGGCTGTTTTTTGTTATTGTTGACTAACAAAACTGAAACTGACTAACACAGCCACCTCTCTGAAATCTGCTACAATAAAAATTATATCACCTAGATATTAATCAGTTGCAACAATCTCATTGAATCTGGTACCCATGCATCTGGAAAGCAGCAATTGGAGGAAGTGTTTAGAGAATTTTTTTTTAAAAAAAGTTTTTTTAACTCCCAAGCAGCAGTAATAGGAATTAAAGTATACTCAGTTTGATCGCATTCTCCCAGATACTCCTAGAAAGATTTACACCAGTGTTTCTCAACCATTTTAAACTCTGCTTCCTTTTGATAAACATAAAAACCTCATGCCCCTCCTTTCAAACCTCCTCCCCCCAGCAACAATAATTTTGTGTGAAATTTGCAGTGTTGTGACTTGGATAGAGGGAGGCCAGGAGAGAGATCGGTGGCTGCAGCCCTCTTGCACTCAATCCAGCACTGAAACAGGAAGTCAGATTCAGGGAGGGAAACTTTAAGGGTGAGGGAGGCCAGGAGAGAGATCAGTGGCTGCAGCCCTCTTGCACTCAATCCGGCACTGAAACAGGAGGTTTACAGAGAGTCAGATTCAGGGAGGGAAACTTTAAGGGGGCTGGTGTACACTGACGTCATTCATGGATTCTGCCACTATAAGACTCCTTAGTAGAGATGGGCACAAATCACTGGTTCGGCAGTTTGGCGTGGTTCGTTTCCTGGCCCAACAGCTGATCTGTGGTTTGGCACCCTGCCTGTTTCCTGGCCCAACAGCTGATCTGTGCTTTGGCGCCCTGCCCCCTCCAGCAACTGCTCATTCAGCAGCAATGCCCCACCCTGCCTCCTCAGGGCACTGCTTGTGAATGCACACCTGCTGGAGGGGGCAGGGTTCCAAACAATAGGAAACGATCCATGCTAAATTGCCGAATCATCAGTTCGTGCCCATCTCTACTCATGGGTTCAAATCTGGCAGTCTCATAGCAGGAGATGCACTGGGTGACCTTCAATTAATTGCAAGGCTCTCAATCAGACCCACCACACAGTACTGTTGCAAGGATAAAGTGGAAAAGAGGACAGACAGGTACCCTGTCTTGAACTCATTAGAAGTCAGGATCCGCCTACAACTAATACTAGCTGAGAGTTTCTAGTACAACCCACCCCCCAAAACACTTCCCAGTTCTGTTTCTCTAATACTGCTTGAATTTTGAGGAAGTCCAGGAGATGGCAACCAAGATGGTAGAGGGTCCACGTGTCAAGCCCTATGAGGAACGGTTGGAAGAACTGAATATTTTATTTTTCATTTAGAGAAGTCTGAGAAGTGATAAGACAGTCATGTTCATATATCTGAAAGGCTGTCACATGGAAAACAGAACATCATTTTCTGCTGCTCCAGATGGTGAGATACAAATAAATGGATTTGACTAAGAAGAAAGGAAATTCTAACTAAACATTAGGGGAAAAAACCTCCTGATGGTAAGAGCTGTTTAATAATCATTCTCTAAACAAAAGTCTGAAAACAGAGAAAAGCTCTCCTTTGTATTCTTTCAACTATGAGAATGTCTGCGGAGCAGCCAGAATTTGGAATCTGTACAAGGGCCCGGAACTCAGTGAGGAGCACTCTTTACTCCAGTTGTTTCTTCTGAGATTGCTATGAACTGAGCGCCTGGTGTCTTCCATCCTGGATTGCCTGCTGTTCAAATCCAGCCTACCTAGCTTTAACTGGGGAGTTAACTGCCTCTACCTGAAACCCAGGAGAGAAAGATCAAACCCTGATATCTTGGGTTCCTAATGCCAATGTTCTTCCATAGATTTTTCAGTCATCTACCTTGTTGGAAACTTACCTTGCCTCCGAGCGTCCGCTATCACCTGGGCTGCAGATTTGCTCATCACATGAACTACGTAAAGAGGACAGTTCACTGAGTTTGCAATAGTGATTGCCCTCAAGGTGGCTTCAGCTTCCACTTCTTCTGGGCGACACAGTTCATGGCCCTCTGGACCAGTTATTCCTAGGGATAACATCTTCTTGGCACCCTACAGATCAGCCAAAGTGAAAAGCAGGTCCGTGTTACCAACGGCACTGTGGATGTCTACAAGTGCAAATGACATCTGAATAACTGTGCTCCAGACCACAAAGAAATCAGAAATTCTGATTCCAAAGATCACGATACAATGATTTATTAATTTTTTTAATTTTATTTTTTATTTTTTTGCTATGAAGCATGACACCAATCTTGGTAGGCAGAGCACCTGGACCATATTTCACAGCAAACAAATAAAATACACGGATCACAGAATCAATCACCCTTCTCAATGCTTGATACATATTACTTGGTTGCTACACAGGTCAGATTATACATCACATCAATCACGTGGTTTGCTTTTCAGTGGAAAGAGGGAGAATTACTTTTTTCCCTCACCATGCCTTCTTCATTGTGAGTTCCATGCCCGTAATTTCCATGTGGTGGAATTCCTGTTTGCTTTAATCAGGGCTTTTTTTCTGTGAAGTACCAGGATCGTTGGCCACCAATTAAAACCATAATGAAGGGGACAAAGGGCTAGATTCCCCCATCTCCCATATTAATATCCAAGGATTCTAACCAAAATACAAGTCAAGAGACCTATTTATTTCCATTCAGTGCAAACTGTGTACAGTAGTCTGTTCCTTCTGCTCTGGGTTACTGACTATTACCAGTAGACCTGGGGAATGGAGAACAGACTTGATCACCACCCACAAATGGCCAGCTCTGCCATATTCAGAGTACGGAGAAGTTGTTTTTTAAATACCCACAGAGTACTTCAGCCAGCATGACCACCAGTTGTGCCAACTGGGGTAGTTCTGGGAGTGATGGTTGAAAAAAAAACAAAACAAAACAACCAACTTGTCCTATGTTCTGGTTTTGTTCCTAATACCATCATCTCTCAAAAGCTTTACACATTTACCAAAGGTCTCAAAAAGGATGCTACACAATTTTACTGCGTGCATAGTTTTCTCTGTGTGGTCAGACTACCGCATTTTAGCTGAAAATGTTTCCCCACAAGACTCCTGCAGGCCTGTCCTATGGACTGTTGCCACATATGTGAAGGTCAGGAGGTGCTGAGCTCAAGAGATTGTTGACACTTTTGCTGGAGCCCAGAAATGGGAACCAATGTCTCTCTGATGGGACAGATATGTCTCATCCCCTTCTTCCCTTCATTCGTTAGATGTGTCAAAACAAGGCAGCCAAATTCAGAATAGGTCTCTAGCAGTAGTGTTGTTGCAATCTCTTGGGAGGGATGTTGACAAAGTTGGAAAATTACCTCTGCAATCAAATCTCCATTCTCAGCATGTACTTGAGCAATGGCACCAATTTGTTTGCACTGAGAAAAGGCTGAGTGTAGTTCTAAATCATTCACCATGTAGAGGTCTTTATAGGCCATAAACATCTTGAAAGAATTAACACCTTTTTCTTGAGTAAGTATTTTCATCTCTTCTTTGACCTAGAACAACAACAGAGGTGTTATATGTCTGCAACATTCACATCCCCGTGGTATTCCATGCCCATTACTGGAAATTAAAATATATTCTACATAGGTAGGTAGGTAGGTAGGTAGGTAGGTAGGTAGGTAGGTAGGTAGGTAGGTAGGTAGGTAGGTAGGTAGGTAGGTAGGTAGGTAGGTAGGTAGGTAGGTAGGTAGGTAGGTAGGTAGGTAGGTAGGTAGGTAGGTAGGTAGGTAGGTAGGTAGGTAGGTAGGTAGGTAGGTAGGTAGGTAGGTAGGTAGGTAGGTAGGTAGGTAGGTAGGTAGGTAGGTAGGTAGGTAGGTAGGTAGGTAGGTAGGTAGGTAGGTAGGTAGGTAGGTAGGTAGGTAGGTAGGTAGGTAGGTAGGTAGGTAGGTAGGTAGGTAGGTAGGTAGGTAGGTAGGCTTATATTATGAGAATCCTGAAAAATCATACTAGGTCTTATTTCCAGGTTATGTCTTATTTTCAGGGAAACAAGGTAGATAGGTAGGAAGGAAGATTATAATATTTAATAATAGTTTATACATTATGGTGATTCCTATAACAAACTCTGCTAATCAAAAACTTCCAGGTTCTCATAAGAACATGTTTCTTTAAAAAATCAAACAAAACCCAACAAAACACCATAACAGATTATCTAGTGTTCTAGCTACCGATACAAACAAATATATTTATTTGGAGAAATTGACCTCTTGCTATCAGTCATTGGATGGAACCCTGTTGAGAAACTATAGAGGTGTAAATGCTGATGACATCACCATATTGCCACTAATAGAAATGAGGAAGCGATGTTCTGCTTTCTGCATGTCTCTCAGTTTTAAAACATTGCTCAAAAATACATACGTAAAGAAGCATACACAGATTTTTTTTTAAAAAAATAGAAAAATGCATCCAAAAATGTTTTAGGGTAAAATGAGTAGAGAAATGCAAATTTTGTGTCACCACCCTGAACCAGCATCAACACTGGAAGCGCAAGTGCCATAAAGAGCAGCAGCCATATCCCTAAGAGGGGCCAAGGAGACATGCAGCCTTCCTTGAAGCTGGCTCCTCAAGCTAAGAGACAGGGACCGTTCTGAAGCCCTGACATCCTTCAGAGACTCTGAACACTTTGAACCCAGCAGTGGCAACCTGGGCTGAAGCAGGCTAACCCAGCAGGGTGGGGGTAGTGAGAGCAACTCAGCCCCTGCCACAAAGGACTGAGGGGTTGCAAAGAGACAGTTGTTACTTGTTGGTAGCCCATTCCCAAATGAAACAAACTCAGATTCAAGCAGTTCTGACTGTCTCAAGTTTTTGGAGCCCTTGGCTGAGGACACCTCGGCTGAAGACCACCCCAGCGCTAGGTGGAAGCAGCATTGCTCACACCACTTTATTTCTAAAACAATAATAATCTGCTGTTAACATTTTTCTACACCATAATATTCCTACATCTTTTGCATCATCTCTCATCATCTGATTAGCTGAATGATTTCATTTTTTAGTATATTATATAGGGGTTTTTCGATGACTAGTGGAGTCCTGGAACATCTCAGGATATTCCCCAAGAGATGTAGGATACCTACTGAACTCTCTCTGTGAAGGGTTACATAGTGTTTGGTGGAACAATTATTGTAGGGATAATGATTGTTATTTTCCCATATTTTTGAAAATGTCAAGCTCTTTGTTTATTTTGAAAATGGTAAACATTTGCTGTTTTTAAATTATATTAAATGTCAAATACAACACATATAGTATGCATAAAATGGTCAAGTTCATTTGGCTGCTTTATTTATTTATTTATTTATTTATTTATTTATTTATTTATTTATTTATTTATTTATTTAATTTATACCCCGCCTATCTGGCCCACCGGACCACTTTACAGCACGCTACAGCCTATCAGCTGTGCCCCCTCCCACCTCATGAAAGTCTATGTGTCTACACTGCAGGTCTGAATATGCTGTTGTCGTCCAAAAACTCCACAGTCCCCTGCTTCCTGTGTTACTTGTGTCAATTGTGCTGCATACTGGACACTTTTGAATGAACAACCATCTTCTATTTACAATACCTTGTCACTCCACCATGTGACTGCCACATGTAATGCATAATCACAGCAAACTTTGGAATCTGCCCAGTTTCTCCATTTCTCATAGGCTTCAATAAGGGAGCACCCTTTCTGAGGTATTGCAAAGTCAATGATCATTGTCGTGCCTCCTGCTAGAGCAGCCTAAAACAAAAATAAATAAATCAGTAAATGATTTAGCAATGAAGAAGATACAAGAATCTTGTATGCATCTATTACCCTACCAGCTTTTTTTAAAATCAAACATCAACAGTCCAAATATAACAAGATCTCCCCCTTTATTTCTGATTTCCTGCCTTCTTTTCATAATAGTTATGTACCATCAAGTTGATTCTTACTTATGACAACCCTTTTCAGTTTGTTGTTGTTGTTCTTGTTCTTTCGACTTATGTACTACCCATAGTGTTTGGAGCTCTTTCTGAGAGGTTTAGAACATAATAATGCAAACAAACAACTTGCCCCCTGCCCAGCGAGCTGGGTTCTCATTTTACTAAACTTAGAAGGATGGAAGGTTGAGTCAACCTATCTGAACCCATTGGGATTGAACTCAGGTTGTGAGCAGAGGTTTTGACTGCTGTGCTGCAATTTATCCCCTGCACCACAGGGCTCATTAAGTACAAAGGTATCAAAAGTGGTTTCAACTCTCTTCTTCTGGGAGCGCATGTCACCCAAGTCTACACAGCTGGCTTGACTACCCAGATGCACAGTAGGGAACAGAATTCTCAACCTCTGGCTCTTCAGGCAGGTGCTCAACTCGCTGAAATAACCAGGCAAAGAAAGCAAGCTCTGTGGTCCTCGTTCGAAATTTTAAAAAGCATGCTCAGGTAGTGTCTTTATTAGACTATTAAAATATCAAAAACAAGCTGAACTGATCTAATAAAGATACAGTGGTACCTCGCTAGATGACGACCTCACAAAATGACAAATCTGCATGATGATGAGGTTTTGCGATCGCTATAGCGATTCGCAAAACAGTGATTCCAAGGGGCGATTTTCGTTGGACGATGTTTGGGTCCCTGCTTCGCAAATGGATTTCACAAGATGATGATTTTGCAACTGATTGGCGCTTTGCAAAATGGGTGTTTTCAGGACCGATGCTTCGCAGGGCAGCCATTTTAACAGCTGATTGCGCCTTGTGAAATGGCTTCCCTATGGGCGATTGTAACGGGCAGCCATGACCTCACCTGTCCGTCACAGCTGGGCAGTGAATCATCAGCCAATGATGTGACGGAGGGTGGAACTGAAGGGGAGGAGCTGGTATAAAAAGGGGGTTGAAGAATGTGTGAGGGCAGATTGAGATGAGAGTTTAAAAGTGATTGTTAGTAAGAGTGAGAGAGAGAGCCTGTCGGTGAGGATGGATTTCACAAGATGATGATTTTGCAACTGATTGGCGCTTTGCAAAATGGGTGTTTTCAGGACCGATGCTTCGCAGGGCAGCCATTTTAACAGCTGATCGGCGCTTTGCAAAATGGCTTCCATATGGGCGATCTTCGCAAAACGACGACGATTTTCCCCTGTTGGAATGCATTAAATGGGTTTGAATGCATTCCAATGGGGGAACGGTTTTCACAAGACGATGTTTTCGCTACACAGTGATTTCTATGGAACGGATTATTGTTGTCATGCGGGGCACCATTGTATTACCTAGCCTTGGGTTCGTTCGGGCTTTGCGAAATGGCTTCCCTATGGGCGATCTTCACAAAACGATGACGATTTTCCCCCGTTGCGGGGCACCACTGTATTACCTAGCCTTGGATTTGTTCGGGTTTTTTGGGGGGGGAGGGAGGGTGCTTAAAAAACGTTACCTCAAACTTACTTTAGTCCTACAATGTACCTAGCCTTGGGTTCGTTCGGGGTTTTTTGGGGGGAGGGAGGGTGCTTTAAAAACTTTACCTCAAACTTACTTTAGTCCTACAATGCTCTGTATTACAGTGTTGTTACATATGTTGTTGTTGTCCAGAAACTCCACATGCCCCTGCTTCCTGGGTTACATGTTTCAATATGGCTTTAAGAGAGGAAGCGAATATTTTAGTGGCTCTGGCAAGCACTCAAAACAGAGCTGGAGAGAAGCAAATAAATGTGGGCTCTCTGTTCTGTAGATGTCAGACTTAGGGTTTGTACAGAGCCAGGCCAAAGCATGTTAGTGTTGCGGGTAAAGGCTCAGGTAACACTCATGGGCAATTGAGTGTTACTTCAATAGTGGTGGTGGGATAGCATTCTCCACCATATCTGATACACCAAATAGGGGCCAGGAAGTTTGTATGATATGTATATCTCTGTCTTCCAACAGAGGAACGACTAGAGACTTCACAACCAAGATGCTGCTCTATTGCCCCTGCAAATATCTATTCTCTCAAGTGGTCACCTCACTCTACCTAATGATAGGGCTGGCCTTTAGTCTCTACTAATTCTGCTGCACAACTTGTACAGTCCCTCCTGAATTGTAGTTTTAATACTATTGTTTTCCAATCAATATGTCTGCAAGCACACAGATATCAGAATGCTTCGACGTGCTTTTAATGCCACAAACACAAGAACATGCTCAGCTGAAGTGCATTTCAAAGCGCAACTGTACATAAAAGCATGTGGTGAAATCAGGACCATTTTTGGGTGTGTTGTAATGTGTGGAAAGGTTAGCAGTTCAGTGATGCACCAAAGATTTTGACTGGGAAAGTCTGCAGCTTTTATGCACTGCTGAGCCACACCAACCAGATGGTTTGCAAAATGGGAAGACAAGAGCCAGAAACACCTTGGGCACATAATTAAAGCAGGCATTTTTTCCTACTGCCTGCTGAGCTGGAAAAACAAATCTGTATATCAGCAGAAGAATAATGGAGGTGGAAGTGATGACTTTGAAATGTGGCATCTGCATTAGAAAACAAAGCCCCTCTGTATGCTGAGGAATCCATTTTTAAACTTCAAGGCCTATATTTGAAATATAGGTCTCCCTAGGCAAGAGTATACATTAAAGAGGGTAGGCAGCATAACCTGCAGGCGACCCTGAAATTACTGATGGCCCTGAAGGCTGCTAGACAGCATGCTAAGGAACACAAAGAAGGCATGTTAAGGGACTGGGAAAAGACAGAGATGAAGCAATTGAGGCACAGTGGCAGATATGCAGGGTTAATGAATGAATGCACACTAATGAAATGGGCTATTGGTTTCTTAATGGCCTGTATCCTTTACTGGGAAAGCAGTGTTTTGTTGCTGAGCAGAGACTGAATTCTTTTGATTTGATTAGGTAACACTTTAGAAATAAAGAGCGGAAATGAAGAAAACTAATAATGCTGGTATTTTTTTTCCTTCTTACCCACATATGTTCATGCGCGCGTGTGCGCGTGCGTGCGCGTGTGCGCGTGCGCGTGCGTGTGAGTGTGAGTGTGAGCGCGCACGCACGCACGCACGCACGCATGTGTATGCACATGCACCTGTGTGTGTGGAAGTGTGTGCAAAATGCTCCTGTGATCTTACAGAGTTTGTGCAACCTGGTTCAGAAGAGGATACACAGCTCCCAATTTTGGATTAGATTTTCTATTGACCATTTGAATTTCTGCCTGCTCAAGACTGAGGCTCAACATTGTGACTCACATTCAACTTTGAATGCAGGCAATGGGTCAAGATTTCCACAGACCTTCAGGCTTTAGATTAAAAAAAAAAGAAAGTTGAGTTTTATCAGCATAATGCCCAGTCCCCAAATCTCAGATGACCTGTTCAAGCTTTCATATAGGTGTAAAAAAGATAACATGCAATTCTGATAAGCCCCACAGGCCAAGTGTCACATCACTTTCCTGGAATGTTCAATAAACTATGATTCTGACCAGAGGCAAAAGTATGTATATTAGCTGAACATCCCCAAAGGATTCTATGATATAAGATAAAAAATGTTGCTGAGAAGTTCAACCAGCAGGACTAGCAAGAGACACACACCTTCTATCTAAGGGTTTGTCCACACTGGCATATACAGTAGATGTGGTATATGAATTGCTGGTGGCACGGTTGGGATCGGAGGGGTGGAAAGAGATCTCATCTGCAAGTGTTTCTACTTAGCACGATCCATCCTTCCACTTCAAGAGCTGCCATATACCTTTCTAACCCAGTAGTAGGGCATGCATTCTTTTTGGCATGCTCGTTGTTTAATCTCATCTGCAAGTGTTTCTACTTAAGCACAATCCATCCTTCCACTTCAAGAGCTGCCATATACCTTTCTAACCCAGTAGTAGGGCATGCATTCTTTTTGGCATGCTCGTTGTTTAGTCTGTTTAGCTGGGACATAGCAGCTTCCCACAACCTTGGCTTCCAATTGCCACTGTGGCAAATTTGGAGGGAAAGGGAGAGAGAAAGTTGGGGGAGAAAACAAGGGAAGGGAAGCAGGGAGAGGGAAGGGAGAAAACAGAATGGCACCAAGACAGGGAGAAAGGAGCAATGTTAAAAAAAAAAAAGAGAATAATTTCATTTCCCCTGACCCTCTGCAGATGATCAGGGGAAGTACTTAACTAACAGCTGATCGGGCTATAAGGGGCCATTGGCTGTTTGGATGCGAGGAGCACACCAAATGGCACATGATTCCTCTCCTCAACCTCAACAGACACTTTATGACCCGATTCACCCCAAACAGCCAATCTGAACAGGCCCTCTCTGCATATGTCATTCACCGAAGGGAACAAATGTTTAAGTCACAAAATGAGGTTTGAAACCACTGTTGTTATTCTTGCTGTCTGTTGTCAAGTCACATCTGTCTTATACCAAGCCTAATAGGATTTTACAAGGTATGTGAGATTGCTACCCTACTGCCACTGATTTTCCATAGCCCAGTATGGACTTGAACTCAAGTCTCCTGAGTCCTAGTCTGTCCACCACACATCTGTAGCAGTTTGATCTATTTTGTAACTGTCCTGGCTCCCTCCTACAGTATCTTCAGATTTTTAGTAGGTTGAGGAATTCAGAATCCTTTTCTAGAGAGCTCTGATGTCTATTGTTCATGGAGTGTGAAGTCTAGGGTTGTCCAGAGATGGATTTAACATCCCTCATCAAACTACATATCTAAGGATTATAGAAGATGGAGCCATGACAGTTAAAAGTGGCATCTAGAGATGGATTTAACATCCCTCATCATACTACATATCCAAGGATTATGGAGGATGGAG